GGGGAGCGCGGGGGCGGCGCGGGCCGCGGGCCCCGAGCGCCCGGCGCGCGGCGGCACCTTTGGAGGAGTCGTCGTAGCCAATGTGCTTGATCGTGTCCCGAACCACCTTCTGGTAGTCAACAGCGGCCCGGGACGTGATCTCCCCGGCCAGCAGGATCATCCCGGTCTTGGCCACGGTTTCTGCAGGGAAGGACACGGTCGCGTTGGGCATCGCCCGCGCGGTGGCGGCGGCCACCGTGGCCCCCGGGGCTCCACTCACCGCAGGCCACCTTGGCGTCGGGGTCCTGCTTGAGGTGCGCGTCCAGGACGGCGTCGCTGATCTGGTCGCAGATCTTGTCTGGGGAAGCAGAGTCACCGTCACCGCCGAGCGGGATCCCGGGCAGGCGCTTCCGCCGCCCTCTCCGCGCGTCCCGCTCCGCGTTATTAGCGTGGAATTCCAGGCATTTGCCAGTTAAACTCCAGAGCTCAAGTTACATTTGGGTCAGTGCAGCCACCTCATTCTGCTGCGCCCGGGGCGCCCGTTTTCCCCAGAGGGATCCCAGCGCCTCCTCTCCAAAGGAGGCCGCGTGCCAGAGCTTTCCAGCCCCGGAGCCGGTGCCAGGTCGCGAGCCGGAGCCTCGGGGCTGTTTGCAGAGGGGTGTTCGGTGTCAGCAGCTGCCCTGGAGCTGGCCCCGCCGCGCTCCATTGTACGGGGCTGCTTCCACAGGCGGCATCCCGCCACCGGGAACCCCAGGGATGGTCCATTCCGGACCGAGGAGGATCCTCGCCCGCCCCAAGGGTTCCGCAGGGAACACGGACGTCCTTGAGGACGACCTTTCCGGCCGCGCTGAGGAGGCCGACGGGCCAGGGCTACATCTCAGCCCAGGGCAGCAGGCGCAAGAAGCCATCAGGAGGCTCCGCCGGCTGGTTTTTGGGGTTAAAGGGCACTAAAATGGACCTTAAACCCGTGAGGTAACAGCCTTAATCCCTGGCAGGGAGCACGCAAGTCTCCTCAGAGCGGGATTGCCAAACAGCTCCCTTTTCCCCTGGAGACGGCGCGTGATTTCCGACCCGCGCCGCTCCAGGGAGCATCCGCCGGGCAGCGCCCGGGGCCGCGGGCTCCGCGGCGCTGCCGTCATGTGG